CACTTCACACCGCATGACCCCGCCCCGTTATCTGCAACCACATTAAGTCCTAGCTGCAATGCATGCAAAGCATACCACCCCAGCCGGCCCGCCCGCTTCCAATTTAATCCCAGTTCCGCCACCGCATTGCTATCCCTCATTTCGGTGTCTCCTTGTGAGCATCCCGCTGCTCCCGGTAGGACCACCCGATCATTCTATAGTGCCGCTCTGCCGTTTTGCACATCCAATCGCAGGCGCTCGTACGGCCTCACTCGAAATATCTCTCCAAAAGTTTTCGCTTTTCAGCAATTCTGCACGGGAAGAAGCCGTGGTGTTGTCCTCCTTTGGAGCCTGGGCCGGCTCACGCCCCGCGGTCCGCCCAGCGGTTCAAAATCATGCCTCCGGTGCTTCTTACAGGCCAACTGAGTGAATTGCTATCGCACCGCATGGATTTACAACAACACCGCCTCGTACATGGCTGTATTGCCTTCGTTAGTTTTATTTAGCACTGGCACAGGCTTCCCTTGTGTAACGAAGTCCGTAGTGTAGTGAACCGTGAGGCCGTCGGGGGAGTCGCCGTCCCCCGGCGGCTCTCAGATGACCGTATTTATAGTCAATAAATGGGGGCACTTATGATACCACTACACGTAGCACCTCACATATCACGCCAAGAACAGCTCTGTCTGGCGCGTGCACCTGTGGACAACGCCAAGGCTACCATTCATACAGTACATCCTATCTTTCAGCATGCGCTACTGCCGAGCCAGATTATTTTTATCCAGCTTGCCGATTTATAGAAATAGGACTGTCGCAATGAAATACGAGCTATCCTCAACGACGCTTCCGAATTACTGTTGCGTTTTCGTTGCTGCCACATTTTTCACATTTTGTCACTGCTGAAACGCGAACTACAGTAGTCAAGAGCTTGTTGACAAGCTAATGACATCATTAAAAAGACAGATGCAGAGTATGTACCAGACACGCTGCTGACTCCTTATGGCCCTCCCGAACATACAAAAAAGAATAGGAGTCGTGTGATTGACGACATGCTGTGCCCTTCGCTTACCCGTCGCTTCCTCACATATTCTCAGAAACAAATCACGCTCTCGATACGTGCCACACGACTATGTACAGACGGAGGCCGCTTTGCAAATAGGGGTACAATACCGCAATGCCATACTGAAGCTTCAATATGCTTCGCTTCGCGGGCACATACAAACACAATGTCCTGCACGAATCACTTATCGTTATTGCTGTTTTGTCTCGCAGAAAGCAGCGCTCTATCAGGTTGTGTTGCGTCCTCCTCTTGACAAATCCCTTCGCGCAAGGGTCTCTCTTGTTTTGAGAACACTTGTACTGTACGGACCATCAGGACAGCACCCTCTCTCGTATAGACATGTTCGTACTTTCTGGCAAAGGTTTAACCATAAACCGCAGTGGTCTCAACAGAGGCGCTTGCGCTTGTCAGAAATAAATATGAGGAACTCTTCAGCAATTGGTTGCTGAAGAGTTACAAGGAAATTTATAAACTCACGAAAATTTTCCTCATACGTAAACGCACCCTGAAGTTGTCAAGTTTTCCCTTACCCCCTCCCTCCCTTTATCTTTCTATCCCCCTTCTGCCCTTAATAAGGGGCAGTACCCTCCGCCGTCCCTATGGGTGCAGGTGTACACGTAAACACATGTACACGTACATGTAATGACACGCACGCTAGCCTCAGAGCCCGTCCCCACACAGCATATCACATCGGTTGCAATCGAACGGAGCTTTCTAATTGGTCGATGCAGATATAAATATTAGAGAATTTTTCCTACGTACCCCTTTTATTTTGTCTTGCGTACCCCTTTCTTCACCTCACTTCCGACGGACTTTCCGATTGAGGTACAGTGTCGCCTCTATATCCCTAGCATTCAATTTAAGGATCAGTATACTGATCCATAAATTTAAAATGCGCACTAGTTCGTCAATAATTCCTTGCACGAAATACCCTTGAACTGTGTTGTAGTTCGCGAGCAGTATAAACATCTGCAAAAGAGTTTGAGAAAAACAGAGCAGATGGTCCAGGGCTATAGGCAGCCCGAAAG